TTTCTGTAAGAAGAAAAACTGCTGAATGTGGTTTAATAATTTTATATTCATAACCTCTTTCATTTGCTAAAGTATTTCTTTAATTTGAAATAAGCATTGTTAACTAGATACTCGACTATTACTGACTTGTGGCTTATTTAGATGTTCACGAGTTACTGATATCAGAAATTATTCTCCCCGGAAAAATCCAGTAGATGTCTATTGTTTCCTATCTATGAATAGTTGTAATCAATTAAAAATGTTAACACACGTAGAAATGTTTGTGGCAATCCAAGAAAAAAAGGAATTGTTTCACGATCAAACTAAGATCACAACTTTTTGATGCAATTTACTGTTTTACAAAAACGATTCATCATTAATATATAATCAATTATAATGCTTGCTCAGATATTTATCGCATTAAATGCAACAATAAATTTATAAGACTGGTTATTTATATATATATATATTGGTATTTTTCCAAGGAAAACTAACTTCAATAATTAAAAGACTTACTCTGAATATTCTCTCCATCTCTCCTATCGTCTGCTCTAAAAGTAGTAGTTCTGGGTATTGTCCTTGAATGTCCTCTAGGCATGCTCCTAAGTTATATACAATTGCATACAAGTTACTGCTGTTCAGATGGAACTCAACTGGTGAGTCGCCTATACTGCAATGCTCGGAACTGTTTACATTCTGGATTCCTAGCTTTTCTTGTGAGGTTTTTGTCTCTACTACTTCCAGATGTGGTTGATCTGCTTTCTGGGATTGTAATGAGTTTGTCAGTGTAGAAGTTGTTATGGAATCTTTTGGTGCTTGATAAAGTCTGTTGTCACCTATACTATTGCTAAGACTTCCAGTTCTGCATAAAAGAGCTGAGTGAAAATGAACGCTTGATGGCAGATCTACAAATTCAGTTTCAGGTGTTGTAACAGTGGAGTTTGGAGCAGAAGCATAAGCGCGACCAAGATCAACTCTGAAGTCCTGCAGCATCTCAGTTTTATCTGATTGGTGATGGAAAGTAGGCCTCTGAAATATTTTATAAACTATGATCACGTTCTCTTATCATTCGATAACTCTGACACTACTAGTTCAATTTGTATACAAAAAAATAATTACAATTAAGTTACAAACAGGATAAACAAAAGTTGTTCATAAACAACAATAAACAGCCAAACCATGAGGGAGACAGGTTTTTAAGAAATGGTTACGTCTAGTATTCTTTATAAATTAGCCAGGGAAGATACTATGAAGAATGACATTTTAGAGTTACTGTTAAGTTCTAATAGAGTAATGGTTGAGAACAGTCTCTCCAACGAGGATGGAGAGGCAACTTCCCAAGAATCAGGGTGAACAAAACCTGGTAATGCCTTAAAGCCCGCAAAGCACCTTTAGGCCGTATCTTCATTTAATCATAAAAAGCATAGTTTTTGGCTTTTATTTGTATATAGACACTTGATACATTAAGAATGATTGAAATAATAATTTGAGTAACAATTAATATATATTTGTTAATTTATAGACTTAAGAGATATTTGTTGTTACCTTATTAACGTTTTTACACTTATACTGTGAGCTAAAAATGGCTGCTGCTCTTATTTTGCCTTTTTTTTTTTCATGAGTTTGTTATTGTTCTAATTTAGGATCTTCCTTTTAATAAGTTCATAAAAACGTTAAAAAGAAAGAAAAAACGGGCCTGGCGAGAATGTTTGCCCTGGGGCCCGTACTGACTGTCGATGGTGCTGATTGAGTGTGGAGATTGGGGAACATCTGGGTGTAAATGATAATTGTTCAATTAAGTTTGGTATTTTACTGCATATTGGAGATGGAATAATGAGGTTATGGTTAGAAATTTAAAAAAAAATGTATATTTTAAATGGATGTGACAAGAATTATCTGTTGTGAACTGGTAAATTGAATTATTTAGAGATACGGATAAAACCAGGGTCCTTGTACCTAAGCAGAAATGAAATTTCATGAGTTTTCCATGATTATTTTTAGAAATTCAAGGACCATTTCATGTGAGATATACAAGAAACTACACCTGGACGTACAAGTTTTCAAATATAAACATTATAGAAATATTGGTAAATAAAGTTTCATATAGTGAAAAGGCAGTAATATGTTTATCACTAATCTAGCAGTGTTTAAATGAAACTTAATTACTTAAAAATAAAAAAGTCAAAGTATTTAAGTATTTCTCGTTTGACAGTTCCCATTTAATTTTAACTGTAAGAACCTTCAAAAATTCTTTCTTCAGGGAATTGGCCACTGTGAGAAGACTAGTTTCTTTCCTTTTCAGCTTTCTCAAAGTTTATGCATGTTTCTTGCTTGTTAAATGACTGTACAAACCTATTCAAATGAGTTTAGGCATGGTTTACACCTTGCTTTTCCAGGGTGTGAATTCCTTTCTAGCCATTCCTGGTATTTTTTATTTGAAAATCAGTTTGTTTTAAAACTACACTGCCTGGTATTTTGCAAACTTGCAAGGGAATGGGAATCACAATACAATGTTCATTTGATTATTTTATATTGGTATTTTAATATATTCAACACTCTAATATACAAAATTATTAGGTAATGCTATTAAGTTTTTCAATTTGGTAGAATATTTTAAATAATATTTATCATAAGATTTTTATTGAGATTTATTTTATTAGTATCATTATTTATTCATTAAGAATTCTTATATTTGTTTTAATATGTGAAGTCTGTTTTAACAGGATTCCTAGAATTTCATATATTTCCTTGCTACAAACAAATAGATCTAGGCCTAATGTGAATAAAATTGTCTTTAGTCTGATGCCATACATGACAGCCCACATTTGGTTTGGAAGCACTGGACGTCCAACAAATTGTTAGGCCTTACGTTATTTTGGAATCTTTTGGCTAATTGTGGGTGTTAAATGCAAACACTGGCAAATAGATTTACACAGTTACTGTCTACAAAACATGGTATGTGTGCTGTACATACGCTGGTGCTCAAAAACCCGATTTTGCGATAAAAGAAGATGCCAGTATATTTTTGACATCCCATAAATTCATGGACCATTTTAATCATGCTGTAGACCTAATAAAAGATTAAATGAAAATTTTTATTAGTGTGATTTATATTTATATGCAGATTTATCGCTTTCTTTACACAACTTACATAAGCATATAAACGAGACATAGCATTAGCACAAATTAGATCTAGGCCTAACAAACACTGATATGCACATGTAATCAGCAATAGATAAAGATTTAATGAAAAAGGTACAGTTTATTATTAGATTTATATCTAACCCTTGCAAATACAACTGAGTAAAGATTTCAAGTCAAAATGAATTTCTTCCCATTTGTTACTAAGACATAAGCAAAATGTTAAGATTGGAGGAGGGTCTTTGAGAGATGATAAAGGAAAGCTAATGATGATTGTGAGATGGCTGGGTTATCAAATTATACTTTATTTTTTTCAATTTTTACTAACGAAGACTTAAGTAATACTTCTCATCCTGACAAGTTGCTGGGTGGAAACAAGACTGATCGAGGTGATCACATTAAATCTGAGCTTTTTAACAAAAAAATTGAGAAGTTTACTGAATGATAAAGTCCTGGACCAGTTGATATTTCACCAACAGGTTTGAAGGATATTAAGGATTGGATATGTGAGACACTTACTACTATTTTTTGTAAGTCCTTGAATAGTCAGTAGGTGCCAAATGATTGGAAGTTGGCTTATATAATTCTTCTTTTAAAGGGAGGTAATAAAAACTGTCCAAATAATTATTAGCCTATTAGTTTTACATTAGTTGTGAGAAAAGTTTTTGAAAGTCTGATAAAAGATGCTCTGCAAAATCATTTATCTACATTTAAAATTTTGTTGGATAGTAAACATGGTTTCTCCGAGGGAAAATCTTGCCTTACTAATCTTTTGATATTCTTTAAAATGTTACTGCTTATGTAGATGAGAATGCAGGTGTGGATTTCTTGTAGGTGGATTTTCATAAAGCATTTGAGAAGGTGCCACAAATAAAAAAGTTTGCTAAAAAAATGACCTCTGTAGGTGGGAGAGATAAGTTGGCTCATTGGATAGAAAAGTGGCCGGGTGGAAGAGAGTAGAGGGGTTGTTATAACAGACTTCAGTATTAGGACTTTTGTTCTTATTGATTCATATAGATGAAGAAATGCTATACAAATTGCTTAAATTTACTGATGATATTAAGGTCTTGGATATTGCTAGCTGTGAGGATGCTGCTGCTTTACAAAATGATTCAGATTTGTTGGTGAATTAGATTGTAATAAATGCATGTGGGAAATCATAATTTTGATGGGAGTAAACTTTATAGTGTTTTAGAAATAAAAGGATACTGTTGTTCTAGTCAATCAATCTCCTTAGCCAAGCAGTATGCTGTTTCTAGTGGCAGGACAAATAGGATTTTAGGTTGAATCTAAAGAAATATTGAATCCAAGTTTAAAGAAGTTATAATCTCATTGTATATGTCATTGAGTAGGAGTATTGCGTTTGGTCTTGGACTTCTTATATATTAGTAAAGACATTGAATTGTTGGAAACGGTTCAGAGGAGGGCTACCTAGAATGGAAAGGTTGTCACATGAGGACAGGTCAGGATGTCTGGAATTGTTTTATCTTGAAAAAATAGAGTTATAGGGTATCTGACTGAAGTGTTTAAGATTATTAAGGAAATTGATAGTGTTGATGCATCTTTTTTACTTGTACTTAATTTTACGAATGGTAGGACTACAGAACAGAAATATAAATATGGCAGGGTAGCAGCCATCTTTATTATTTTTCTAACAGGGTGGTTGGTATTTGGAATGGTTGCCTACAGATATGGTGGATACAGTATATTTAATAGAGTTTAATGGAAAGCTTGATAAATATTTGAAGGATAAGGAATAAATCTGAGTGTTCTATTTTTATTTTAAAGTTTAGTGGATGGTCCCTAATTGTCCTCAAATGTTATCTTAAAGAATGTTATCTTTCTTCCTAACTGGAAAGACTGTTATGGTATTGTTGTACACATCAGCTAATTTTCTCTTCAGGTGTACTATAAATCACTGGAAATGCAACATTGTGTATTAACCTCAGAGTCCTGGTAATGCTACTTTTTAATATCACAAGAGCAAAATTCTGCAAGCTTACATTCAAACCTGAAGATCTGTTATATTCTTCTTGCTGCCTACTAGTTGGTGAACTTTTTAACATACTTCCTACAGGCAGCATAGGTTGTGATACAGTGTCTTCTGTACAAGTATGCAGTGGACTGAAATAAGAGTTATTATTTTACAAATTTGTAAGTTTCTGCTTAAAAGCACCATTTACATTCAAACCAATGCACATAAAAACTCATGAAATGAATATATAATTTGAACTCAACAGAATTTCTGGCAGAAAAAAAACAACATACTCTTAACAGAATGTAAAAGTTAAATATGGTCCAAGAAAGTATCTGAGCGTGAATTACATACACTATAAATACCACAATGTTAAAACTGCACTATAACTTGTCAAGATGGCACTAGGCTTGTTGGACAACTGTGTTTCAGCAGGTTCCTCCTGATGATGGAATATAATTAGAGTTGTCCAATGAGCCTGGGCAATAAATTATTGTGAAGTTTTAGTTTATGTAAAAGACTTCTTGCTTACATATAATATAAAATGTTTTTTTTTTAAATCTGATGAAAAATAGTTACATGGCCAATTAAGAAATTATATTTTTTACTTCCAATCAGGGTAGGTTGTTTTTTTTTCTGCTTAATTCAGTCAAATAATAAAAAAAAATTAAAAGTTATGATACAGATTACCAAAATATTTTTTTGGGGGAAGTTATGAATCACCGTTCATAGCTTTGAATAAAAAAAAACAGTATATCAAATAGAGATTTTGTATCATATGGATATATACACAGATAAACTAGTTATTTTCTTATAATGATAATGTGTAATTTTGAAAATGGAAACAAACTAACAGACTTTTCATTGTAACAAACTTAAAATAAGACCCAAAACGTGAACACTTTCGAATAGTTGAGTATTCTTCTTCAGGAGAACAAGAACCCCTTGTTGCGCTTTCGAATAATCAACTATTCGAAAGTGCTTGCATTTTGGGTCTTATTTTAAGCTTATTACACTTTATATGTGATCCTTTGTGCTAACTCTATTATCAAGACTTATCACTGTTATTGGCAAATAACACACTTACTTCCATGTTACAACAACATTCAGTTTCAGTGATCCATTAGGGTTCAGATTAACAGTCATGAGTTGAGGGTAAGCACTAAAAAGATCCTTGGTATCACAAAGTTTGTGTCCTAAAGTTTTGTTCTTTCCAAAACCTTTCACTTCAACAGCCTGTAAAAACACGCAAACAAATATTTTAAATAGCAATAAAATCTTGGAATTTTATTCACACAGGTTACAACTATGAATTATTTTAAAATAAAAACAACATTCTTTATGCAATGGTTTACTCAGTTTTCTACTTCGTGTTTAAACAAAGAAATGTTGCTCAAAATTTGTCATAATAATTATCACTGGATTTTCTCACACATCAATGATGACAAAACTAATACTGTGTACAATGACCACACAGTAGCCAATGGAAATTGAAGTTTTTTTTCAATGAAAATATTTCAAAATACTTCTCCTTTTATCCTTGTGTACATCAAGATATAATAAACTACCTATTTAGTTTTAGAATATTTGTTTGTTATATAAAACTTCTTAATAGTATTATTGATCAAACAGAAGGAAACTACCATGTGTTAAAACAGTATTTACAATAAACATATAATAAATTATGATTAATATTTTATAATGCCTAGGATAGCAAGTTATACCTGATTGGATAATAGGTGTGGTATAAAATCATATAATGACTAACAATATCTTTAATCACAGTATTATTTACAGGCCCGTGATGGGCTTCTGGTTAAAAGTTAATATTAAAATACACTGTTGAATGACTCTATAAAGTAAACCAATTCTGAATGACTAGATAATAGAAATGATTAGCCCAATTACTTATTGGTTTTTGAAATTTCTCACTATGTAATAAGTAAACAGGCAACAAAATGTGCCTCATTAGACTGTTTTCATGGCGTAATTAAGGGAATGTACCATGCATTAGTTCTCCAAACTAGTTATTATATAATTGTCTTTTTGTTTCCAGTTCATTATGGATGTAGAGAGTTAATCAAGAAAAGAAGAACTCTCCCTTCCTTTCTCTACTGCACACAGTATGGATTGTCTAATCTGTAATTAGCTATGTATCAATGGACCTAAAGAGTAAACAGTTCATACAAAAAGTCTGCATGAATGCCCTTCTATATATTATTGGTTGGAATACGAACATAACTAATTAGTGTTTACTATATGTTACACATTACACTTGTATACAAGAAGCCAACAAGTATGACTGAACATAACTAATTAGTGTCTACTGTATGTTACACATTACACTTGTATAATGTGTTTCAAGTTGATAAGACAAAATTGAAGCAAAATAAAACTCAATGTAAAGATTTAGGGAAATTAATTTACATGATCAGCAGAAGGAATGGGTGAAAGATTAACACCAGGACTAAACTTCAACAGCAAGACTTGGTTCCTTTAGGACAGAAACAACTCTGCTTTCCTCAAAGGTCAGAATTAATTTTGTGGAAAACTGCTCTTTTAATGTACATTCTTTCTGAAGGTGACAAAACAGAAGATAGGTGTCTCTGTTCCATAAGAATAACACAAGGTTCTCTCAGGCCTGCTGAGAGGTTGGGGGGGGGGGGGTACTGGGGAAAAATCCCTGGAGCCCAGGTCTCTAGGGGGCCTGGAAAAGAGGGGATATAAAATAAAATAAAAAATAATAAATTAACTGATTAAACAACAGAGAGACAGCATAAGTAATAAATATATGAATACTGTAAAGATTATCATTTGTTGCCAACAGTCAAAATGGTCACTGCCACAACCGACATCAGTGAAAAGAAAAAAAGTGCAGTGTATGAGAAAATATCATGGCTACTGCAAAATGCTATTACAATGTTATATTATTTAATTCATCCCATATATCCCCTCACCCAATCTCACACTTATAGGCTACACGTGTAACTATCAAAAGTGGACCCTGAATTGTGAGATCTTAACATATTTATTGCGTGTAACTCAATGAAGAGTTTGCTGAATTCTTTATTTCAATAACCATCTATGTGGTGTTCTTAATACCAATATCCAGTCCAGCTCCAAATAAAGAAGTACAACCCATATCATTGTACTTTCTTAGCTATACAAACTTCCTTTTGATCAATATTAACATAGAATATTAGGGTTAATCATTATAAACTAAATGTGATAGTTGTCCAATTTAAAGTTGCATGTCATTATGGGATTCAAACCTGGGAAAATCATTCTTCTCATTAGAATATCCATGGTATAGTATTATCAATTTACATCAGATTCTGTACTCCAAAAATGGGTGGTAGGTGGGTTATCAGAGACAGAAGATTTTAGAGGACTTGCATCATGACTGTCATATACGGTGAGTTGAAAACTTTCAAAAAATGTTCTTCAAAATCCACAATAACTCAGTGACTTTGATGTTAGTATCTTAACTGATACTAACATATCCACACTAATACAAATCCTTAAAATATGATATTTAACTGTAAAATCTGTAACAAAAACACAACAGGTTAGTAGAATATATATGTCATGATAAACCTAACAAGATGCATGCTTTTAATCCAAGATTGAATAAGTTATCATATTATGACATTATAAGTTTCAGCTTGTTGACAGTCAGTTTGTACATGCATGTCTGGGTTCAGGTTAGGAGGAGGAGGGGGTCATATAACAATCCTTCTAAAGGGCCCATGGTAGCTCTCAACAGCCCTGGGTATCTCTCGGGTGCAGAATCATGCAGAACACAATTGAACTCTCATGAAACAGACAATTCCTTAATTAGTCATGCTACTAAAAGTAGCTCTTAAGGCTGTATTTTACACACTATTTCAGAATTTTGTAGCTAAGAAATACAAAACCAGGAGAGAAATGTATGTAATATTTACATAGTATACAGTGAAATGGGTGAAAACAAATAAGAATTCAGGTGGCTACAATGATATAACATTAAACCTAAATCGTGAATATTAAGTTATCTATAAACTACAGCACCTTTAGTTGAAATAAATGGAACACAAATCAAAACAGGTTTAACAATGAAATTATCATTAAAGTTACAAAAATTATAACATGGTAACAAAGAATAAATTAATATCATACAACAAATTTTTTATTTAAAAAGAAACATTTGTGTCGACTTAATCAAAACAAAATATAATATCTTTCAACGACAATCCTTTTGTGCTTCAAATGTCCATGTTACAAATGGTACAATACACGAGATAGTTAGAATTTAAGTTATATGCTACAGTCATACTTGTTGGCTTCTTGTATACAAGTGTAATGTGTAACATACAGTAAACACTAATT